AACATGCAATCCTCTTGGCTAGATTTTCTCAGAGTCATTCCTAGCAGAAAGTAGCCTTTAAATAAATAAAAACCAAAGATTCAGAGTTTCTTTCTTGTTTTGTTGAAATTCTTCAACACTTCTCACATGACTGTTAAAATAGCATATTCCAACTTTACCAAACTGTAGTTTACATTCTTTGTTTCTCATTTACATTCACACTATTGTTCTGAGTCTTCAAAAATATTGGTTCATTCTCTAATAGAGAATTAAGTCATCAGAGAGAGCACATTAAAATAAAGAGGTGAAAGTTTGATTTTTAGTGTTAAAATTCATGAGGAAAACAAGTGCCACATGAATTGAGAACTGATGTATTTTTCTGGTTCCGATTGGTATGATCATAAAAGGTCCAGTTACTGAACTGATAAGCCATGTGCCAAGAAGTAACCAGCTACCAAAATGCAAGCTGTGAGTAGATTATGATGAGCTCACTGAGCCTATATAGCTGCGCATTGAAATTTGACCAACTGCAGGAATATTCTGAGGCCATATAAAATGTATATTTGAGCTTATTCTAAAGTTAAATGCTTCACTTCATTGATTTAGGATTCTTTCACATCAAAAATAAAAAAAAACTTTATTAAATTTTTTTTTTTTAAATTTACTCCTTAAAAACCTATTTTAGGGCCCTAAAGCTTAAGTTTCACTAGTTTTGTAGATCCGCCACTGATCTCTGGGTGAAATTTGGAAGAGGAAACATTTGAATTTCGCCAGTGGAAACTTCAACAAAATTGTTGCTTTCACTTGTACTGTATTGCAGAGGCATAAATATTTTTCTTGCTTGTTTGAAATATGACCTTCAGGCAGTGGAATTTCTATCGATTACAAAGTGTCTTTATAGCTAAAGCCAATTTATTTTCCAAATAGAGACTGCAATTAATCAATGTGAAATATTTTTGCATTATATAGATTCTTTCAGTTAGGCAGGGTTTCATGAAAATATGATTAATTAAGATTTTATTATATCAGACAAATTTATTTTCTCATTTTAAAATTTTTTTTTTAACTTCCAAACAAAATATATTAAGAATTAACAATCTTTTCTTTCTTTTTTTTTCTGTGATCAAAGTTGAATGACTTTTTTTTTCTTTTGCTTTTATTGAAATCAGGATTTTTGTCATTTGAAACTTTTTTCATAATTATTGTATTACTGCAGAATGATTTTTATCAAATTTTGAAGAAATTTCTGTTCTAAAATTGAATTTTGAATCCATCACCTTTTTTGTGATAAATGTAATTTTTAATTATAAATGACAACATCAGGAGTTTAATTCTTATTTTCTGAGTTGACAAAGTTCATTAATCATAATGAGCTTTGAAAATTGAAACTCCAATCTCTTCTGTCGCCAGTGTCTTGGGATGAAAAAATTAATTCTGTGTTTTCTATTGAAAACACCATCAATTCCAAATACCTGAATGGAAAAAAATATAAATTGGGTATTGCAGATCTTGCAAGTGGTAGGATGGATTATCTACTGTTGCTCAGTTTTTCTTTAACCATATGTGTAACTAATAAACTCTTGGCATCATAAAACATCAAAAGTGAAAGTTTCTTGCAGCAGTTAACCAAAGTCAGAGATTGAACATGTATTTCATTTTATCTATGAATGTACTCTGTTTTATTTTTAGCTTGAATGTCTGTCTTTTGCACAAAACTACACCATTGTTGCTTTTTGGAGCATTTTTATTGTCTGATGCTGACTTGTGAGATTTAAATAGTTTCTATCTGTTTTAATTTGATTTCATTTGCATTGTTACTAATTTTGAATATTTAAGTTTGAAACTTAGTCAATGCACAGATGATAAGAATTATTCAAGAAACTGAGATAGAATAAAATAATTATTGTTAATGTATAAATCAGAAAAATGCAGTGTACCCAGTCACTTATATATGTCTTCCTACACAAGGACTAAAGATATGTTAACTGAAGTTGCAAAAAATGCAGGTGTCTATACAGTCTATATGCACAAATTGAATTGAGGGATCTATTTTTTATACCAGAATAACATATCATTGGGTTGTATTAGGGTGGGTGCATAAATTACTATAACCCTTTTTATTTTTTTTAATTCTAGAGATTGAATACCCAGAATATTTTAAAAAAAAAAAAAAAAAAATCACACCAGAAATTTTTGCACACACCTAATATGTATAACTTATTTCTCACATGTTATTTTTAATAGCCTACTATATTTTCACTATCAGCTTACATTTCTTCTATTTAGTTTAACTATGATTAATTCCAAGGGGAAGTTTTTTACTTAAAGCTATTTCCTTAGACAAAGAATATTGATGTCCAAATTTCTTTCCACTTCAGATAAGTGCTTTTGTATGGGTATATGGGAAACTCTCTTGAAATTTCTGTTATATTTTGCCAAGATTCAGTAATACATAAGAAGCATTAATATCCAGTTATATTCTGTCAATAGATTTTATTGGAAGCAGTGCCCTGGGGTTTGAGCATGTGAGACAAGCACATTTGGTGACATTCTACCAAAAATTAAGAGAAAAACAAAAAGAAACCAAATATTTATGAATATATTCCTTAGTTTACAAATAATATTTCAGAGATTGACTATCAACCTTCCTACTTAGTTTTAGGTCTAAAATTTAATTCTATATAAGTAAAATGGTAACTGTTGCATTGTGCCACCACTAACTTCAGCCCTTCAGACCCCAACACCATAGACTGTATCAATGAAAGACAGTTTCTTTTTATTATTGGTTTTATAATATGAGAGGGACAGATGTGATAGGGGGAGAAAGAACTTCAAGGAAACACATGCCCACTCATTGACATAGAATTTCACTATGTGCAGGCTAGCATCTCTAAGGAATCTGGGTATGGAAAACCTGTCAGTGCTTCAAATTTCATGCTGCACTCAGACAAATTCATGCCATTTTGGTCTTATATCCAAAACTTAGACAAAGGAAATCCATCACTGCCAGAATTTCACACCTACAGGGTATTCTGACCAATCACTTGCCACTGTGGTTCAGCCTCCACATTCTGTAACATAACAAATCTTATCAGCATTGACAAAAGTTTATCTCAAGATCTCATGTGTATAGGTATTTTTTTATAAATGCATTATAATTTTAAAGTAAAACTGTATACTTTTTAAAGAGCATAGTTTTATAATTAATCAAGAATTTTTATTCTTCCTTACTTTATTAATAGAAATTGAAATAGTTTGGTAACCTGTTGTTCCCAAGAAATTATATGCTCCTCAAGGGAGATACCATAACCTTCATTCTAAAAGGAATTAATTATCCTGTTTATGATTGCTTGGGTACAATTGGCTCATTAAATCTACTTTAACTACATCCTATTTCTACGAGATATCTTTTTTATATACTTTGTAAACAATATATTCTAACTCACAGTCTGCCAACACTTTGTTGTTTGGAATTTGAATTGTTAGCCATTTGAGAATTTCAGAACCAGACTTTTCAAGAACAAAAGATTTTAAGCTCAAGTAGATCAGATTGCAATTTGGACACAAAAAGTCATGAATTCCTCTGTTCTAAATAAAATTCTTTTCTTTTCTGCAGGGAAAATAAGGTACTTTGTGAAACATGACTGAAATGGTTGTCATTGCACTGAACATTAGTATTTAATCCTTCTTCAAAAAGGATTTCATGCTTAGCAGATTTCTCTCCTTACATATAAAGCTGTTTTTGCAACTGAACAATTTTACTAATATATATATATATATATATATATATATTCATTTTATGTTACTATTCAATGTTTAAATGAATTATGTTAAATGCACTTGCAGCATGTGTGCAATCACTGCTAAAGAATTTGTAGTAATTGTATATTCAAAATCTCATCAGTACTTTAGTATACCATTAAACTGACCAGCGGTAGTCTGATTTTAGGTTTGCAGAATCATTGATTGTTTAAACAATGTAATAATTGGTTAAACACATAAAACATATTTTAAAATCTCACTAAACATTATGTTGTAAAAAGCTACCTTGTAATTCACTATGCTTCCTAACTTTGTGAAAGGAATAAATTCAATGGGATATTGAGCACTTTCCCTCCATGAATAGAGAAAATTCTAATCAATTACATATAATGGCATAACTTTTGGATTGAGGTTTAAAATTGATTAAAGGAAATGAGGTATTAGGAAAATACTCTGGCACACAGGTTTTTTTTTTTTTTTTTTTTTGTCATCATGAACTACCAGTCTTTAAAATAAAGAATAAAAGTCATTTCAAATTGAATAATGCAGAAAATCATCTCTACATTTCAACATTATCATCTGGTCAGTTATTTCAGATCTCTCATCATTTCTAGATTCATGAACATTGACTGGAAAGTTGTGAAGACTGCATTTTCATCTGACCTTCCCAAAACTAGCATTGATGGCATTGTAAGATACTACCTGGGTAATGCTACTTTGGTGCCAATGGTGATCATCCAATGATAATTTTGTTGGCAGCATAGTTCTTTTTTTTTCTTTTTTATAATACTAGTAATCATGGTTTTCATTAGTTATTTAGATGTTGCACCTACTGCAGAGAATTTGTTGATCCACCTTTTGTTTTGAATTCTTTAGTAGTTGACATGTTTAGAATTTTACATTTTTATTTGTTAGCTTAAATATTCTCTTCCTTGTGTTTTTGTTTTCAAATTCAATGACATTAAATGACCCAAAGATTCTTTTATTTTTTTCATTTTTGTTATATTTTAATTTGTAATTAATATTTGCTATATTTAGATTTCTTTGAATATTTTCATTATAGATTTTATTATTATTGTGACTGTTAAACTTTATATTTTTCTTCATTACATCATATCAAAATCAAGTTGCATTTACATTTGTTTTATTTGTCATTGTTCTTGCATTTAACATCTGATGTTAAAATTTTAGGAAATAATTTGAAAGATTAAATTTACATTGAAATACTCATTTTTCTCATCACTTTTTTCCTCCTTAAGGACATATCAAAGGAAATAGAGAAAAACTTGACTCCCAAACAGTGTGCAGCACTCGACTTGGCCCTGGACACCATAAAGAACTACTTCCATGCTGGTGGTCAAGGGCTTAAGAAAACCTTCTTAGATAAGAGCCCTGAACTACAATCACTTCGCTATGCACTATCATTATACACCCAGACAACTGATACCCTCATCAAGACATTTGTTAATACGGAAACTCAACAAGGTACACAAAGACAATTATTCATCTATTAAAAAAAATTATTATTAAATTCATTTATTAAAAAAAAAAAAAAAAATACTTTTTGCTTAAGCTTCCTGCTATTACAGCGTTTCTTTTCTTTGTATTTTGATCATGACATTCATTTATTTTTTTAGATTTACCTGCACAAGAAGATCAAGTTGGAGAAGTTTCAATTCAGGTTGATTTATTCACTCATCCTGGAACTGGAGAGCACAAAGTCACTGTTAAAGGTAATATCCATTTTGTATAGGTTCTAGTTTTGTGTAGATGGCAACACTAAATATAGTTTTTTTCTTAGAGGATTTAATAAATAGTGCTGTTCTTTTCTGTAAATAATTTTCTGCCACTTGCAAGTATATTCAGTATAATTCAATTAAAGTGCTTTTTGCATTTGCTTATATAAATGGTGTTCCAATAACTTGGACCAATTTTAAAATTAATTCACATTTAAAATCATTCCAAATTATTGGAACACCCTTTTTATATATATATATATATATATATATATATATATATATATATATATATAGCAATTGAAAATTACTATTTTAAAGTATTAAATTAAAATCACATTTAATTATATTTTAAATCTTAATTAACACTGCATATTTTTTTATTTAAATTTTATATTTAAATATTTGAACATATTCTGATTTTAAATAAAAAATATCTGAATAGCAATAAGTATTTCATTTGAGAAATTAGCATAATATTGCAAACCACCTGTTTTTAACAGTCTATTTTTGTTTAACTGTAATAGCATCAATTATCAAAGAATAAATGAGCCCTTCCCCCCAAAAAAGAATAAATTCAATGGCTTTCACAAAAAACTATACACACTGTTACTTCTCTAGTATTAATAATTTATATCTTGTTCATCTTCATGCCAATTTTGAGAATCTGTGTTCTTTGATAAGCATCAACATTTTCTCTTGCAGTGGTTGCATGTAATGACCTCAAATGGCAAACGGCCAGTATGTTCCGCCCATTTGTTGAGGTTCATCTGATTGGGCCGCATCTCAGTGATAAAAAGAGGAAACATTCCACCAAGTCCAAAAGCAACAACTGGTCTCCCAAATTTAACGAAACCTTCCAGTTGTAAGTGGAGATTTTAACAGTTGTGTCCTTTTTTCTCTTATTTCTTTTTGTCACCTTAATTTTAACAGATTTTTGGGGTTTTTTTTGTTTTTTTTGTTGTTTTTTTTGTTTTGTTTTGTTGTTTGTTTTTTTTTTGTTTTTTTTTTGTTTTTCAATACTCTTAGGCATTTTTTAATGTTTTTTTTTAAGTTTGTGTTTTTATTCCAAACTTCTCAATGGAAAATGTTTCATTTTTCAAAATATTGCTGTTGACATTTTCCAAATTTTGATTTTAGTTTTATAAGCTTTGTGTCAAAAATGTTTATATACTTCTTTAGTGGGAATGAAGGAAGCTAGATATTGATTTTTGGTTGTCAATAATTGATGACTTTACCACATTGTTGCATGTGTAGATTGGAATGAATGAATATGTTACATTGTGTAGATTAAATGAGGAATAACTACACAAATAAATTTTACTTTGATAATACAAACATAAGCTTGTTTTAAGGTAAAGCCTGAGGGAGAGAAAGTGATTAGTCCTTGATGTTTCTTATGTGAGCATACTGTTAGAATTTAGAGATAATGATGTTAATTTGCTAGCCAACAATACATATACAGGTGATTTGGTGTAGGTACTTTGGATTTCAACAACCCAAATAGTATTTTTTTTCTTATATTCTTTCTTTCTCTCTGTCTTCACAAAAATAACATGTTCGTAGAAAGTCTTTTTCTTCCTTTCTTTGCTGCTTCTCTCTCAAAAATAATTAGTTCAGTATAAATCATTTACTTTTCTTTTTTTTCACATTGCATGAACAAAGATGATGATTTGAGATGTGTGATTTTTTTTTATGTCTCATCCCCACAAATAAAACAGGACAAATTGACTTGCTGAAGATTGCACAAACTCCAGTGGTTTCAGCAGGATGTCCTTTAGCCATTCATGGTCACAATGCAATATATGCCCCTCTCAATATTTGTGGGATATCTGATGAAGAAACAAGCTTTTGGACAATTTGTCACATGATCTATATGCACATCATGCTTATCATGAAGATACAAACAAAAGCAATACATTTTACACAATCCTCCATCCTAACACATCTTTTTTTAAAAATCCTGTTGTTTACTCTTTTTTTTATTTCTCATCCAACATCTCAGTTGGTCTGCATCTTGTTTCCTAAAGACATATGTTGAATATCTAATTTCATTGTTCAGTTTAAATATAAATCACAGGGGTCCTTTTGGTCAGCAGACAGCTGGTTTCTATCCATTTTTATGGGTGATGGTGGGACACACTTTTCTTAATGTCTTGTCAGTACTCTTCAAAAATCCTTGTGCCTATCTTCAGCTCATGTCAAGACAATAAACTGTTAACAAAATTACAATTTTTTGTAGTTTTTTTGAAGTTTTGCATTGTTAAAGAATCACTTGGTTCCTAAATGTTTATAATCTCCAATTTTTTGTGTATGTGCTACACATGTGCTTGAATAAAAAAAATATAGCTAAACTCAACTGAAAGAAAATCATGCTGTGTATCGATACTGACATATGTTAATGTTGATGATGCATCTATGAAAGGCATAGTTTAATGTTCTACTGGATATGTGCATTGGCTTAATATATGCAGTTTACCTGGTGGTTTACCTGCTGATATGGAGAATGGGTTCTCCCACCCCGAGCATCTATCAATTGAATAAAGAATTTGGTTCAAAAGTCTGAGAATGTTAATAAATACAATTGGCACATGAAGAATACAGGTGTATTACAGGTGTGTAAATAAGTTTTTCAAAATAACAATTTACAAGAAGAAAGCTATTTTCTTATATTTGAAATTGATTTTCTCTTTTTGTGATGAAGTTATCACAGTAGGTGCCTCCAGATACACGATACCTAGGGTTTAAAATTAATTTTTAAAAATGAAAAATCTTTCTTGACGATTTTATTTTAGCTTTAATTTCAAACTAATAGATTAAATTTAATATTTCCAACAAACAAAATACTTTTCTGTATTTCAAAACTAATTTAAATTAGCTAAAGGAGCTTTCATTTTGGTATTATGGAAATTATTGATTTTAAGCACCATTTTTTGCCATTTTTCATCAGAATAAAAAAATGTTGTGCATTAATATCAAAAATCTACAAAAATCGGTACATTTATATGCATACAAAAATTCAAAATTCTTGGTGTTTGATGAATTGTACTAAGCTTTTCAATTTATGATTAGTAAATATAGTTTTTAATTAATAATAATATCATCTAAAAGGGTGAAAATTTTCTTAAGATGATATATCTTATTTATAAAAGCAATTAAAAGCTTTTCTAATTAAATAATGTCTTAGTTTTATTGCATTATTTATTTTATGATTCAGAGCAGATTTTCAGTAAATAGTGTTTTTTTTGTTGTTTTTTTTTTTTTGTTTTGTTTTGTTTGTATTTTTTTGTTTTGTTTTGTTTTTTTGTGTGTTTTTCAATACTCTTAGGCATTTTTTAATGTTTTATTTTTTTTTTTAAGTTGTCCTTTGTGTTTAAATCTGATAATTTTTGCAAGAATTTCCAAATCAATGTTTTTCACCATTAAAAAGACACTAAAATTTCCTATACTAACTTTTGGTCTCTCTTCTGATACAAGAAAAACAAGATTTTTAACCATAATTTTGAATGTCCTAAAAAGTATCAAAAAATATAATTTAATAATAACAAAGATTTTGACAATAAAACTTTGTTTTTATTAAGTTTGAGGCAATGTTTTTAATCGTGGTATGTTACTTTTTTAGTAAATTAGTGGAGGTACCTATATTACAGTAACAAAGACCAAGTCTAAGGTTTTAGTGTCCTGTACTTTGATACTAAACTATTGAGATATTATGTATATTCAACTGCACAAAAAATCTATATCTCTTTTATTTACAAATAGACTGTAATGAATATCTGGTAACTTTTTTCTCTTATTTTTAACTAAGCATTTATTTTCCCATTTCTTTCTCTCTTTGCAGTATTATCGGTAATGAAGAAGAACCTGATGCATACGAACTACACATCTGTATTAAAGATTACTGCTTTGCTCGGGAGGATCGTCAGATCGGGATAGCAGTGATGCAACTACGAGATATTTCTGAACAGGGCAGCTGTGCTTGCTGGTGCCCATTGGGCAAACGTCTCAATTTGGACGAGACTGGATGGACCATTCTTCGCATTCTCTCACAGAGAACCAATGATGAGGTTGCTAAGGAGTTTGTTAAACTCAAGTCAGAATGCCGACATCAAGAGGATGTGGGCTGAATTTAAGAATGCTTATAGGATGATTTAAAAAAAAGGACTTTAAAAATATAAGTATGGTTTTTTTCATATCAAAGTTATCACTTAACGTTGAACCTATTCCCTTGTTTTATAAAATGAAAAATGTGAAGTGATAATGATAATAATAATCATTATTATTATTATTATTATCACAAAAGAAAAAGTGAAATGAACAAAAAAAAAAAAAGTATTCTTGATTCCCCACTCCCACATTTGAAAAGTAAATAATTTTAAAAATAATAATAAAGTTGAATAAATAAATATGGAGAAAACAATTCTGAAATTATGATAAAAACAACAACACTGGGCTTTATTTAGGTTCTGATCTGGCCTTTACGAAACAATCCTTCGTTTTGTCAGTGGCCAGTTTAAAAGCATAAAGGCAACTTTTATTTTAATGTTTTTTTTTTGTTGTTGAATGTTATATGTGAAAGCTGTAACATGTGAAAACTGCTATCATATGATAGGTAATTTTTACTTACTCACTGCAAAATGTGGGTTTTATGAAAACTGATGACTCATCTATCTTTTCCATGTTCGCAAAATGTTGAAGTTATCTGCCACTATTTCCATAAGAACAATGTACAAAAAACCCGGGCAGGTGAAAAAAAGAATGGATGGATAGATTTTGTGTTGCTAAGCAACTATCGATACTGACTCAATCAAAACTACCGTAGAGTTATTATTAATATTGCTCTATGTGTTGTTGTCATTGTCATTGTCGTTGTTGTCGTTGTTGTTGTGATAACTATAATGGCAACAACACCTTTTTTTCTTTTATTTTCTTTTGTTTTTTTTAATGAAGTGGGATAAGAAGAATTAAAATGTTAAGAAAAAGTTGTGAAAATTCGCAAAAGGCAAAAACTCCAAAGCAACCACAAAACAAGAAAAAGATGCAAAAAAGAGTGAAAAGAAAAAAAATAGAAACAAAATTTATTTGTACTTGGTACATGGACAATGTTTACACAATTTATAGATTTTCTTTGACATTCTTTTGCGAGTTTAATCTTTTATTTATTGCTAAAAAAATCTCTTTTTTCACAAGAGAAAAAAGAAATTTTTTGAAGAAAGAATGAAAACTTTAACTGCCAATCACTGGGATGATAATTGTTGATATGCTCAAGAATGTCACTCTACACTTAAATAACAAAATCTATTTGTTCTTTAAGAAAAAATACAAAACAAAAATCTATTATGGCTGTGGAATACATGCAGCTTTTGTATTATTGAATTTTTCTGATTTCTTTTTTTTTTTCTTTTTTTTTCCATTTTTGTTTTTGACCAATGGTTAAATGTTTATTAATGTTATAAAAACCGATAATCTTCATTCAGCATTCTTACAATAAAAACAAAAAAATAATAGCTCACCATTTCCTCTTGAGATAAGGAGATTTGTTTTAATGTCTGCTATCTGCGGCAGAATGTCAACACTTAAAATTCATTATCCATTAATTGTTAATTAGAAGGGCGACGAGGGCCAGGTTTGTTACAAAGAAAAATAAAAGTCTGTTTTATATATATATATATATATATATATATATATATATATATATATATATATATATATATTTTTTTATTTTTTTGTTATTATATATTACATATATTTTCCAGTAAAACTGAGTGCTCCTTTGATAGAGCACTTTGGTATTATTAAGGCTTTTGTTGTGCACTTTTATTATTTATTTATTGTTATATCCTCATATCTGGCCTGCTGGCTTACTGACTGACATAGCAACTGTTTGTCACCATCTACCCCAAATCATTTCCTGTTCCTCGTCCTGATGAACATTATTTAACTTTTGATTATCTCAATCCAAAATACATATCCCTGGCAAAAACATGTTTCAAACTCATATACTCACAAAACTCCTCGGAAACAAAAGATTTAAACTTTTCATGTGATTTTTTTTTCTTCATCCTTAGCTACTCTAGAACAACAAAAAAATTCTATCTATCTTTATATTTGTTTTATGTTTTAAGATATGAATAACAATTTTCCATTTTTTTATTTATTTTTATCTCAACCTTTAAAAAATTCTGCTGAAAACATTTAAAACATTATAAATTATAATTAACCAATAAAAACTAATTTTGTGAGCTTGAAGTAATTTTTTTTACTTGGCTTCCAAATAATTTATATTTGATATTTAAAAATTCTTAGAACAAAAACTAACCTTCACAAAATATCACGGTATTATGTAATGTATTCCAGATATAAAAATCTTCAAATCTTGATTTTTGATACTCAAGTGCTTTGCTTGTGTAACATTCAACAGTTAGAATGAAGAGTAAATATCATTTATTTTATGGAAAAATAACTCATACTTTCTTTGGTTAACCCCTTTTCTCTCTTAAGACTTTTTTGTATTTCTTTTTACTGAAGAATTCATGAGTTATTGTCAAAGTGGTCAGCTATCTTTGGAGCTTGTCATCCAAGTAGGACACTGGTTTCTTTTGATTAAAATTACAAGTTGGAGTAAGTATTATTTAAGTGCTAAGTAGAATTTCCTGACTTAGCCTTAATAGCCTATGTGGTTGATATCCAGGCCCCATTGTTGCATGTGAGTTTGAATGTTGCTCTAAGTTTGTTTGCTTTTACTCAGTATCTTTATAATATCCCATTTTCTTAAATACTATAGAAACTGTTAAAATATTTTCAGTTTCTTTACTTATCAATAATTCACAAAGATTTTATGGACACAAGTGAAAATCCAATACTTTTCTGTATCAAACAGACTAATTACCATGTACAGCATTCAGTAATTTTGGTTTAATATCAGTTTCTGACATCTATTTTTTCCCAGTCATCTGTTAAGTTAGAACTTGTACATTTATGATAATTATTTCCTTCTCATGAGTGAGTATAGAACTATAGAGTCAACAGTAAGATGATCTGAAATTTCATCATCCATGCTGGATATATTCCAATAATTTGGTATAGTTTTGATTTGCTAAACAATATGGACAACAGGCATTTTTGCTGATTGATATTAATTAATATCTGCTGAACCATAAGTTTGAAGTCTGTTTATAGGTTCACAGATTTCCTAGAATTGTATTTTACATTTGTTCAGATAACATAAAAGCATACTTTCTCTCTTGCCAGACAACTTTCTGTGGTCATATCATGGTGCTTCCAACTTGGTTGAATGTAAAGTGGGGTGCATATCACAGTATTAAGTATGCAATGCCTGGGATACCAAACTCATGGGCTACAAAAATGGAACTTTTTCCTTAATTCATTCAGCCATTATACCAATGGACATTTTCTCAAAAGCAGTAATCTTCTAAATAAATAATAAACAAAAGCATCTTGGAAATGTTTCAAATTTTCAATTCGGCCTTCTATCATAAATACAAACCTCCAACTTTTTCTTTTTTTTAAATGAAGCTTGAAAAATAATAAAATAAATGTATTCTTCTCCTGCCTGGCCATCAGTGTGTTTCATACCCAAAGCTTTTTAAAATTAAAAGCAGAAAGAGAAACATTTTATATTTAATTAATTTTAACAATTTAGAAATGCCAAAGAAATTAAATACTTATATCTATTCCTTTTATTAATATTTGTAAAGTGTTTTAACAATGTGAAGCTTTTAGACAATATACAGAAAAGGAATATGAATTTAATGCTAATTCTATATTTAATTTTTCTTAATAATTATTCAAACTAGAAGACAATAGTTTCATTCATACTAATCCCAGAATAGAAAAAAAAATAAACATGTATTACTTGAATTCAACTTACTTTTCCAGGAATGTTTTTTTTATTTTCTACATAACATTGTCCATTATATTTAGTAAATGAAACACACACTTTTAATACATTTAAGTAAAAAATATAAAAGCATTTGTATCAGTACATACACTATTTTGTGTTTTTGTTTAAACTTTCAAACCTAGCTAATTTTACAATCTGCTTATTTTAGTGAAAATTAATTGAAAAATCAGATTTCAAATCAGTTATTTTTAAGTTTTTATGTCTGAAAAAAAACTTGCTTTTTTTTTTTTTTTTTTTTTTTGATCACACAAACTCTTCCACTCATGAAAAATATAACAAAATTTAAAAAAAAAATCCTGAAGCAGAATAATACTTTTTGCTATTGTTATTTGTGTCTGATGTTTGTTGAAAAATATTAAATTTTTATTCTTGGATTTTTCTGAATATTTCTAAATTTAGATTATTTCACATAAATTTAACAACTGTTGGTATATTTTTATTGAAAAAAAAACAAAAAAACAAAATATCACAAAACAAAATATAAAATGAGAAATATTACGTTTTGCATCTTGTGTATGCTTACATTCTCTTCTCTTCTCAATTGTCAACTGTGATTTTTTTACAAGCACTTTAAAAAATGCTTCAATACTTAGTACAGTTAATTATTTTTCCAACAAAAATTGCTAATTTTATTTAATGTAGCTAGTTTAAACTTTTCTTAGCAGTGTTGTCTGTATACAGTATGTACTAATTGGGTTATTTTTCTTCCTCAGTGTTACTGATTGTTTAAAAAAAAAATGTTTATCCTACCCATCCAAGATCGACAGCAGCTCTTCATAAAAAGAAAACCAAAAAACAATACAAAGTGGACAAATGAACAAATCAAAAGAGCTGTAATTACTGCTGGAGTTAATATCAACTTTAAGTTTAGCTAATGTCAGCTACTAAAAAGGAATTTTTGCAGATTTCATTAAAATAACCTTTTGCCTGTTTTCCTTTAAATTCTAATGTCCTTTCATTAAAGCAATATTTCTTCTTTTTTTCTCTTAAATCATAAACCTGTTCTCTTTATAAATTGGTCATCTTTATTCATTTAGTTTAGGTTGCTTGTTAGAATTTTCTGGCAACAATTAATCTCATTGTAAATCACTTTAATTTTCTGGCTTTGTTTTATTTGGAACATTCATATGATGGGGTACATAATTGATAAAATTAAGAGGCTAAGCTAATTGCATGATTTTTTATTACTAGCCAATTGATATA